AGCATGTCTGTTGGACTGGCTCTTGAACACATAAAGAAGAAGGGACTAAGTGGTGATTTTTCACATCGCTAAATCAGTAAAGAATCTGACACACACAATACTAAGTTGAGGGCAACTACAGGGCCTAATTCAGGATAAAAAGTTAAATTTTTAGATGTGACCTGTCTGATATTTTTTCCTTCTTTCAGGATGGGGTCAGTGGAATTTTCCTAAACCTTCAAACAGTTAATTTTTGAAGTCCTTAAAGTAGTGCATTATACAAACATATGCTGTATAAAGGCTCCATTAAAGGTGGGCAACCTGTGGTCTGAGGTGGGAACCCAGTGGGGTTCAATATGTGGCCCATGAGACATTTTGCTTACAGTTGTCCATGCACTGGGTTTCCAGATTCTGCTGGTTTTCACCGGCTTGATTTTTTTGCCTACTGGTATTATAAGTGATGTGCACTTAAAGCAAGGGCATGTGAAGTGAGGTACATGTTGATTGCACACAACATTGTGATAGCCATGTGCTCCCTCTGCATCCAGTCAGAGTTCTGATACGGTTCAATTGGCATAGCCCACAAATTGCAACAGCAAAAGAGAGATAATAGGTATGCAAGTGTTAGTAAAACTACCCTCTCCCAGGAGATCATCTTGCTTATGAAATCTTGCAGCCCACTGAGATGGAGAGCCACTCATTTGCCCAGTCACTAGCCTAGGTTGCCGTTCACTATTCCACTCTCTGTCAAGCCTCAGTCCACATTCACCCTGTCTCTTCAGTTGAGAAGGGAATGCTTTTCTACTGGAACTTCTGTATATAAGTCCCTGAGAGTGTTGTCACATCTTTAGATTTGTTCTGTCTGGTTCTATGGATATTATCTTCAGTACATGGTTCCCTCATGGAGTGCTCTGGGTTGTTTTATCTCATTTTTGTAAGTATTTACTGTCTGTTTATTTTAGTGATGGATACTGTTGTGATAAGTGCCAATGGTCTGAATTGACATGGAGAGATGATAGTCTTTCTTACCTGTTTTGTTACCCAGGTTTGTCTATCCCAGCTGGAGCATCTCACTTTTCTATTGTATTGTGTTGGTGCCAGTGAGTCTGTTCCCCTGAAACTGTTTTGGTGTATTTTTTTTTTTTTTTAAGGTTTAATAGCATTTTTAAATTTTGAGAATCAACTAACCAATCTCCTTCATAGGAAGGCTGATGTGACATAAATAAAGTTAACAGGAAAGAAATTCCTATTTCTTTTACTAGACTAACCTCTCTTCGCTTATCACTTTCATAAATACGGTTGTGTGTAACTTTTATTTGATTATATTTTTATAGAGCATGAAGGGAAAAAGTAAAAGTAGTCATGACTTGCTGAAGGATGATCCACAACTAAGCTCAGTTCCTGCTGTTAAAAGGTGAATACAGTAGTTCTAATCTGAAGAACTGTTTCAGTTTTCGTATGTTAAATCTCATTGGCACTATGCATGTTCATTTATCCATTAATTTTCTATCACTATCTCTTGTCTTCTTCAAAGTAACAGTTCTTGCCCATAAGCCGTCCTAAATAAACTTATTTTTTCATTAAATTCAAGCCATTGTTGGTGTGCCAAAATGATCTTTCCCAGCCCTTTCCCATCATGTCTCTGGGGATGGGAATCATCTCATTGGCTTGGAGAACTTCATAAAATTCCTTTGGGATTTCTTTCAACAAAATGTTAGTGAATGCTTATAATATTATACATTCATAATATAAATATTTACAGTTTAGAAAACTGGGTATTGGGAGATTATATATGATTACTAAAAATGTCTACTCATGCCTTAGCTATACAAGATTGCTCAAAAATCAATAAGAAACATGTTTTACGTAGGCCTCAGTTGGAGTATTGTGTCCAGTTCTGGGCATCACATTTCAAGGAATATGTGGAGAAATTGGAGAAGATCCAGAAAAGAGCAACAAAAATTATTAAAAGTCTAGAAAACATGAGCTGTGAGGGAAGACTGAAAGAACTGGGCTTGTTTAGGTTAGAAAAGAGAAGAGTGAGAGAGGGCATGATAGTGGTTTTCAAGTTACCTAAAAGGGTGTTAAAAAGAGGAGGGAGAAAAAATTGTTCTTGACCTCTGATGATAGGACAAGAAGCAATGGGCTTGAATTGCAGCAAGGGAAGTTTAGGTTGGACATCAGAAACAACTTCCTGCCTGTCAGGATGGTTAAACATTAAAATAAATTTCCTTTGGAGGTTATGGATATATTTAAGGGTAGGTTAGATAGACATATATCGGGGATGATCTAGATAGTGCTTGGTCCTGCCATGAGGGCAAGGGACTGGACTCGATGACCTCTCGAAGTCCCTTCCAGTTCTACATGTTGAAGCTCCGAAATCCAGGACTCTGGTCTGGTGAACCATGAATGTTGTTAGATCGGAAGGACCTGGCACCTGGGAGTGCGAACTGGTAAGCCCTGTCGCCAGGGATCCCCGGCAGAGTACGACAGTGGGGCAGCCAGCAAGCCCCGTTCCTGGGGGTTGCGTGGGGGAGAAGCAGGTAAATGGTGGCTCCCTGGGGAGTCCCAGCAGGCCAGAGCCCAAATCCAAACCCTGCAGTCTGGAGCCCTGTGGCAGTTGGGCCAGAGCGGAGTCGGCCACAAGAAGGAGGAGCGTCCTGGAAGTCTGGTGGCAGGGGACTTCCCATGATCTGGCAAATTCTCTCATTCAGGACAGGTCAGGTCCCAAGGATGTTGGACAAGGGAGGTCCAACCTGTAGTATTCTATGATTCTGTGAATTATTGGTAGATGAATTTTATATATATATAAAATTAGATAGATAGATAGATACAGGTTGGAGACTAAAGAATTTAGGAATATGGAATAATTGAGAATGGAAAGAAAAGAGATGATAGTCACAAGAACAACAAAAAGGAGAAACGCAGTCAGGTTGTTGCTGTTCTTCCCTCAGTCCTAATACATTCCATAAAATGTGCAATTAGAGAGAAAGTTGCCTCAGATGCAAAATGTAGATGAAGTATCATATGTCATCTTTCTCCAAATTGTTCTGTAGGGGCACCATAATTTGTTTAAGGGGTTATACCTGCACATTTTCTGTCCACTTGAGTTTTGTGCTCCGCACTTGGCCTACAGTTGTTTGATGTAAGAGTACAGAGTGGTCTCACAGATTTCCAGAAAATACATACATTGCTGTCTGGTTTGTTGGTCTTGAAATTCCTCACTAACAGAATTTGAGACAAATTCAAACATTCCAACTAGTGGGCATGACAATTAAATGGTGGAACAATATTATCAGTTGACACTATAATGATGACCATGGTGAAATAGCTAGATTAAGGGAACGCTTTCATAGTTTTTAATCCGTAACCTAAGCAAATTCTTGGTTAAAATACTACTGTATTGTTTTTGAATGCTATTCTCTGTTTCAACTGGTTCAGAGTACTTTAGAAAAATAATTATCATCTTATATGGATTGTGTCTCTCTCTTTTTTTTTTTCTTAGTGCAAAAGCAAATGAAGTGCAGGATTCAGATGAGGTGAGTGGCACTTCTGTGAACAAAGTTTTGACTCATTGAAGATATTTACTTTATATTTCATGTGCATTTTTGTTCTTTTTTCAGTGATTTTTTTCATGTGCATTCCAATTCATGTGTGCGCTTATATGTTCACAGTCCCTGGAAAGCTTTTACCTGAGTGGTATTCATAGGGTTGTCTGTGGAGCCCCCTGCATGGCACTGCTGCAACAGCCAGCCCCTCCTCCTCACTTCCTTCTTACTACTCGTGATAGTCACTGAAACAGCCTGATCTCTTGCTTCTGCAAGTGTTTTAGTCTACACTAATGTACATAGTTTCAAAGTTGTTGTAGTAGTAGTTATAGGTTATAGTTATAGATGGGTTAGTGCTAGGGGGCTTCCTCCTCCCCCACTTTAGCCCCAGCTTCAGGGCATGCCGCACTCCCCAGGTTTCAAAGCCTGCGAGAGCAGTGGCAAGCCTATGCCTAAAGGCATGCAGATTGCCTGAAGTGCCTGGGTGTAACCAACAACTCTGTCAGAGTTTTTGACCTAGAACTAAAAAGGAGCAGGACCACTGTCTTAAGCGCCTCTTAATGGAGACAGCATTGCGGCCTTAGGCATCAGAGCCACCCTCGGTATTGATAGTGAAAAGTGCCCCAGCATTAGTACATGACCTGGCACAGAAGAAACACTTTGGCCATAGGCACCGCTTCCCCCAGCATGCAGTGTTGAGCATGCAGCACTGTTCACCATCCCTGGTGCCAGCTAAGAGAAAAAAGGTGGACAGGGCAGGTTGCTGGTAAGGGCCCTGGTGGGATGCATTTATTTCAAAGATACCCATAGGCAACATCACTGTGTGACACACCGTGAACTGCAGCTCCGCCGTTGAGCCTGGCTGTTGTAATCTCCCCTGTAGAGACCATATGGAGGACATTGATCTCTGATCAGTGAGGCTGCTAGGGATCTCATTGAGATGATATCCTGATATCCACCACAACATCCTCCCATAGCACACAGTGTGGCACTGGAAAAGTTGTCATATGCTTTGCCTGTAGCGGCACTGCCAGCCCCTCTCTGGTCTGGCACCTAGTATTGGTCAGAGTTGGGAGAGAAGTCTTTGGATTCTTCAGTAGCCAGTATTGTTCACAATCCCAGTACCATTTCTGGTACTACCAGCATCAAGAGGCCCCGGTGTAGCAGCTCAAGCCTCCACAATGGCAGGCTCATGTGAACTGGTCCTTTTGGTCTCCGAGAGCCTGCCACCAAACCCAGGGTCTAGTGTTGAGGTTGGCACTAGTAGTGTTGGCATCATGGGCCCCTCCATCAACTACGGTGTCATTGGGAGAATTGAAACAATGCCCTCTGGTGTCCCCCACCACAGTGTTGGCACAGCCTAGATCGGGTCTGCAGACAGGTCCCCCTCATTCTCTTGGCACCAATGGTGGTGATGTCTGAGCCTCCTCTTATCCAGGTGGCAGGTACGAAGCCTTCGGTCCCGGAAGCTTCCTCCTCCTCCTCCCCTGATTAGTTGTGGTGGGTGCCTATTGCACATCCCTTCTGGCCATGGACATCAAGGCCCACCAAGATCTCCTTGTGCGCAGGATAGCACAAAATCTCCAGTTGCAGGCAGAGGAGATGATGGAGGACTTAGATCCCACAGTGGGCATCCTCATGGCCGATGGACCTTCCAGGGGGTGTTGCACCTCATAAGTCCATCTCTACAACCACCAATGTGTTCTGGCAAACATCGACCTAAATTCTGCCCACAACAAAGAGGGTTGAGCAGTGGTATTTTGTGCCCCAAAAGAGCTATGAACATCTCTTTACGCTCCTGCAGCAGATACTTGAGTGGTGGATGCAGCTAATCACAAGGAGTACCAGGATCAACTGGGCTCTAAAGCCAAGGAAGCCAAAAAGCTGAACCTCTTTGGACAATAGTTCTACGCCACCAAGGTTCTGCAATTACAGATGGCAAACCAGCAGGCAGTCCTGAGTAGGTATGCTTATAACTCCTGGAGCACACTGGACAAATTTAAAGACTCCGATGAGTTGCTAGGGGAATTCTCCTCCATTCTTGAGGAAGGCTGTGTGGTCTCCCATATGGCATTGCAGGTGGCACTGGACTTTGCCAATTCTGCAGCCCAAACCTTGGCCACAGCCATAACTATGAGATGTTCAGCATGGCTGAGATATAGATCACAATTCAAGACCTATCATTCCACTGTTCAGGGCTGTTTGTAGGCACAAGTTTGTATTTTTGACAAAGTCTGAAGGATACCAGAGCTACCTTTAAAAGGCTAGGCATTTACACCTGGCCCCCGCAGCAGAAACAGTACAAACTGCAGCCTCCCTCTCACGTCTACAATGCCCCTTCTTGCCAGACACCAGTAGCGAGGCAGTTTCAAAGGCCAGCTGAAGATCAAGCTGATTGCTTTCCATTCCTTAAATAGACTTTCCCCAGGGTGGGAACCTTTTGTTTAGCACTCTCTATATGGAAAAGTACCATATTCTAGTTGTATTCCAGTACCAAGTGGGATAGTCAGACATCTTTCTGGAACCAAATAGAGTTTGTGCTTACAAGACAAACAAGACTATTCATAGGTTGTTGGTTTGCATGCTGAGGTATTATGTTCCTAAGTGTCTCTAATGGCCCTCATTAGCATATTCAGAATTAAAACCAGAGTCACACTTCATATTTCTAACTTCACATATAACATTAATACATGCACAAAAATAGAGTCTACAGATTCAGCAGAAATTGATGTTATATGATGCATTTTACATAAAGTGTCTTTGAGTTATGTATATTCATATTCATAGGCCATATTTCATAAAGCATGGGGGGATCTGTGACAGTAGTGTCCAAACATTTCTGACAGTAACTTAGGTCTGTGGCAAACAATGCTCCTCCAACATTATAAACCAATCAAGGGGGAAAAAACTTCAGAGAAAAAGTATGTATTGGAACAAATGCCACAAATGAATAATACAGTCCAGAGCCAACACTAGAACATTGAGGTTTTTTGTAACTATAAAAAAAGCTAGTTCCTGTATTTGCTATGGAGAATAAACCTGGCTGAAGTGTGGCTTTGTATGAGTCCTTGAGAAAGGGGCAGCATATTATTGCACTGCTCCTAGAAGAATTTGTGACTTGAGACTACAAGCATGTGCTAGGTATGAGCCTGGTACTTACCCCAAGACTGGCAAATGGACTAGAGAAGCTTTCATGGGCAGGGAGAGAGAGTAGCTCTGTACAGTCTGCTCCAGATTACCAAACAACACATGGTATGAGTGGCAGGTCTGAGGCTCTCTTACTCTTTTGCCATGATTTGGCCCTCTGTTTGAGAAGGAAACAGAAGCAGAAAAACTGCACAGGCAATATTTAACCGGCTTAAACTTAAGGGACATCTATCTGTGAGCTGAACTTCCCCACTCCTTCTTTTGGAAATGGTTCTAGAATAGAATCATAGGGTTGCAAGGGTTATCTAATCCAGTCCCTTTCAAGATGCAAGATTTGTTATGTCTATGGTGATCATATTTTCTGAACCAAAAATAGGGACACCTTATCCAGGCCCCCTGAAACTACTAGCCACACCCTGACCCCTTGGGCCCTGCCCGCCTGCCACAGAAAGTCCCACCCATGGGGCAGTACTTCTGGGGTCAAGATGAACACATGACTGGAAGTAACGGGGGTCATGTGACCCCTCTAAGAACTTCTTCCACCATCCTCTACCAATAGGGATGGGTTTGGGCCCCATTGGAGCCCCCATGCAGCTATATTGCAATTGCATTAACCCAGGTTCCAGACTTAGGGTCCCATGACACTGCAGTGCTAGAGATCCAACCTCAAGTCAAGATGAGATCCAGGATCTGAGATCTATTACTTTGCAGTATAGATGTAGCCCCATTTGACCCAGGGACTGGGAATCATCCAGAACTATCCCACAATTTCATGGGACAACTTCCTTAGTCTTCTGGATGGATGATGCTTACCAGTTCCAATTAACTGGTAATCAGAGGGGAGTAGAGCAGCTCATCACCAGTTGCTTGAAGGGGGGCTGCTCCAGCCCCACAAAGGGCCTGCTGCAGATAGGGGTTGCTCTTGTCTGGAGCAACCCCTGTCTCTGGGGAACCCAGGGGCCCACAGATAGGGAGGGCGCCAGTGTCCGGAGCAGTCTCTGTCCATGGGGAGTCCAGCTTGCTGTGGACAGGGGCTGTTCCAGAAGGGGCTAGGAGCCAGTGGCAGCACCAAGTATGACCTGACATTAACCAGTTAACTGATGAATGAGCATTTACATCCCTAATGAGATGGACTGCAACTGCATGTATTGAAGTTACTGCAAAACTATCAAGATTCCTCCATTTCCACAAGCCAGAATGACAATACTGAACAACCATAACCATTACAAGGTGGAGAAGACCATATCACTAACCCCTATCACCATTGCTTGCAAGGTTTATTTCCCATGGAGTTCAATGGGGCTGGGCTATTTTATATGTAAAGCTATTGAGAAATGTATGTCAATACCATGATGGCAATGCCTATATTATGTACATAATGCCTAATAATAATTGCAGGGTGAGACCACTTCCCAACCTGCTTACAAAGTGCCTGATCCAATTTAAATTTTAAGCTAGGATTGGGCCCAAAACAATTGGTTGATATTACCCAAGAAGATCCAGTTAATATTTAGTCACTCTTCAAAAATATAAGGGATCAATCAGTAAAAGCCCCACTGCCAGGTAGGGGCGATCTTTGAAGTAAATTGGAGAGACTTTGAATTTACTACTTCTGACAGCAGCGCTTTTTCTCAGTGGATGTAGGGTCTTTAGCACAGGTTTCACTTTGTGTGTCTGAATAACTCAGAAATGTATTGTCACAGCTAACTCCATTCAGGTGTAGGCAACATGCAGCCCAAAGACAGAAGAATAAATCTCTTGAGGCTGGAAGTCAAAACATCTCACCTCTTCACAGAGCTCACGAAGGGCTTGTTCACTCAGACACACAAGTCATGACAACCCTT